TACAAGTTTTCACTTGTTATTATGATGTGCTGAATGTTTTTATATGAATCAAAGTTTCATTAATGTCAAGACATGCTTCATCTTTTCATTACTAACAACATTGAATTGATGTGACCCCAGTGGCTTATTACACTGACTCGGCAAGTGTTCCAGAATACTTGAATTTTCTTTTCTGAGTTCCTCACATGTTCTTGAAGAAAAAATAATAACTCATTTAGATCACTTTAATAAATATAATTCTTAAGTACTTATGGTAAGGTTGTGAAGATTGGATATCAGTCTTTGCCATGGTCAATAGCCTATATGATTACCTAATTCTAATTTTTACTAACTTTATATATAACTAAATGCTAACTATTTTTCATGTATGTTTTGGTTTTGTTCAATTAATGTAGTTTCAAGGGCAATAATATTCATAAGTCATTTTAGATCACTTTAGGGTGTGGGGATAAGTTAGCTAATTGGATAGAAGAGTAGATGAAGGATGGAAGAAAGCAGAAGGTTGTTATAAATGGAGTTCAGTCAAACTGGATTAATGTCACAAGTGAGGTACCTCAGTCTTATGATCTTTGCTCTTTCTGATTTACATCAATGACATAGATGAAAGAATGGTCAATAAATCACTTAAATTTACCAAAGATATTAAAGTCTTGGGTGTTGCTAGCTATCAAGAGAATGCTGCTGCTTTACAAATGGACTTGTATAATTTTATAAGCTAGGCAAATAAATGACAGATGGATTTTAATTATAATAAATGCAAGATAATGCATGTGGGTTATAATAATTTGAATTATAAATATGCGATGGGAATTGGATTTTCAGTTGTATCTACAGAAATACTGAATACACGTCTGGAGAGGTTATAATTTCATTGGATAGGCCATGTTTAGAGTATAGTGTTCAGTCTTAGGCTCCATACCTTAGAAAGAACATTGAATTGTTGGAAAGGGTTCAGAAGAAGGTTATCAGAATGGTACCTAGGATAGAGGGTTTGTCATATGAGGAGAGATTAAGATCTTTGAAATTTTCTTCTCTTGAAAAAAAAGAAGAGTAGAGGGGATCTGATTAAGGTGTTTAAAATTGTAAATAGAATTGATAGTGTTGATGCATCATCATTTTTTCATACTTAATGGACTAGGGGACACCAATATAAATTTGGGCAGGGTAGGATCATCCTTAGCTAAAACAGTTTTATTTTTCTAACAGAGTGGTTGGTCTTTGGAATAGGTTGCTGTTGGATGTTGTGAAAGCAGTAAATTTAAGTGGGTTTAAGAGAAAGCTGAATAACTACTTGAATGATAAGGGCTGGCTTTGGGTTGCTTTTTTTTAAACTTATAATAGTGTAGTTTATGGGATGTGATGGCCAAGATGGACCAATAGGTCCATTGCTGTTCCTAAACATTGTTATGTTAACAAAAGAAAATCTTTAAATGCTTAAAAGAAGGTTGTGGAGATTGGATGTCAGTCATTGTCATGGTTAATAGCCTATATGATCACCTAAGTCTAATTATACTAGTTAGTAACTTTATATATACAGAGAGAGAGATACTAAGTACTAATCATTTTTCTCCAACATTTTGCCTGCTAATCTGCTGCCATCAGTAGGGAAGACATGAGAAGGACTATTTCTATGTTGGTAGTGGGTGGGATTCATTCCTGGGTCTTCTTATTGGAAGTCTATTGCATCATCCACTTGACTGTAAAACTAGAAACAACTAAGTAATTGAATGTTTTCAAGAGTTTTTCTAGGTTTTGCTGGTTTTTACATTAGGTTGATTGAGTTTGTTATCAGTTAGGTGAATGTCGATTGCTTATTATAGCTTTCTTTACCTTGTTTATAATTCATTTCATTTTCATATTATACATTTTATTGTATGTTTTTCTGTGGCATGATGGGTTATTGCAGATATCTCATATTACTGTGTCTGATATATCTGTTATGTTTCTGATTTCTGAATTTGTTGGGTTTTTATTTCTCCAATGTATTGGAATCCATATTCACAAGAGATGCTGTAAATGGTGTTTTTCCTCTCTTTAATATTTAGGTGACGTGCTGTATTCTTTCCTCAGTGGGTCAATGTTAAGTCTGAATACTTATAATGCTACAAAATTGGTGGACACAGCACAGATAGCCCATTGTGTAGCTTTGTGCTTAACAACAAACAAACAAAATTGTTGTTAAGTAGCACCTACTGCTAATTTTTGGGCTATACTTTATTTGACTGAATAGTAGGAGTTACTCATAACTCTTATAGAACACACACACACACACATAGCCCATAAGTTTGGAGTTTAATTTTGCAACAAATGAATGTAAATGATGAACCCTCTGTTCATAGTACAGCATGTCAAACACAAAGCCATGCCTGGTTTATGAGTAACTAAAATTAATAGTAGTACACAGCAGGTAGTGGTAGTAAACTAAACAGAAAGCTACTATTCTTATTAGTTTATAAGAATATAATCTACTTAATGTAAACTACCCATATATATATATCATATATATCACATGCCCATTCTTGATTAACTGCTTGAGCATCAGTGCTGCTGTCTAGGGGGCTCATAGGAGGATAATCCAAATAAATTATAACTTGACCATTCTTATTTAGAAACCTAAATTTAAAAAAAACACAGTGCAATAAACATTTTGAGAATATTACAAACTGTCAGTCATTTTTTTGGTAACCTTGCAAAATACAAGTAATAAAAATAACTAATTTTAATGCTTTCCCTGTTTATTTTATTAATTAATCTGGATTACTACTGACGTATGAAATAAAAGATTTGCTTCAACTGAGATATTATAAACTTTATACATAAATCAAATGATAGGCCTAGATATAATTGTGCATTTGAAGAAAACTTTTTTTTTCCATGCAATACAAGTGCAATGTATACTTTGATATTGCTTCTTTGAAATAATAATCTTTGTTTACTTTAAAATTAAATACTAACAAATCTACAATAAAACCTCTGTTGCAGCTGGGAACGTAATATATTTCTTGTTAGCTAGAATGAAGATACAACTTCTTTTTCTTTCTTTTTTTCAAAAGCATGAGGATCAATCTTGAATATACTTAGATGTTTATTTTTACTGACTAAACACTTGCATTATGTATGTCAATGAATATATTGTGTTGTAGGTGCATTGGATTAGAAGGTCAGGTAAATGTGATGAACTGCTGCCATGACACGAATATCAGTCTAATTAGTGATATATAGGATGCTAATAGATACAAGTATGTAGATAACATGCAAATGATTTTTTTTAGAGATACATGACATATATTTTAATGATGCATTTACAACTTTTGACAGTTAAAATCTAACTCACTGAAGTAGCATCCTATGCACTTTAATGGCAAAGGTTATGTTGAAATGAATGAAATTATATTTATACTGATACCTTTGCAAGATGCACATGCAGCTGTGATTTAAAATATTGTATTATAAAGATTATTTTGAAGGAATATGGAATATTTTAAATTATTTTTAAGGGAAGCATATATGTTTGTGAAATAAGAAATTTATACAAAATGAAAGCATTAACAAGTGGGTATTGTTATTAGTTGCAGTTATATTAATATATTAAATGTTTTTCATTGTAATATTTAGTATATCATCAGTGATATTTGAACTAAGATGTATTTTAATTTAAATCAAATTATGTGGTCATAAAAACTATCATAATATTTAACAGTATTAATTTAATTTTTTCTAGAGTGTTGCAGTCAACCTGAAAGACACTAGAGGACAGTCTTTGGTGAAAGATGTAAGTAGAGGAAAACACTGCAAGGTGTGAAACATTTTTTTTTTACTTCAAAAACTGAAGTAGATGTACCATTTTAATTAAATACTACAAACTTGTCTGTTGCTTTTTTACTCAAAATAAGTCTGACAAGGAGTGATATAATATGATATGTTTGTTTCTGGTTAACATTATCCTCATGGTCTTCCTTAATTTTGGCACAGAACATTAACTTTTATTGCAGTGATAATACATAATTAATAGTTAAAAAATATATAATGTACACACAATCTTTTAAAGGAAATGTGTGTGTGTGTGTATATGTTTTGTTAGCTATGAAAAAAACAGATTTTTTTTGTGTCACTCACACTACTGTAGACAGCTTATAAACATGTAGAATACACATGTGCTATGAATTTTACTGTAGTTGTCTAAAGTTTATGTGGTTTACAAAAATCAGGTCATGTTTTTGTCTAACAGCTAGCTAAACAATCAGATGTATTGGTTGAGAATTACCTACCAGGAAAGTTGGATGAACTAGGATTAGGTTTTACCCAAGTTTCTGAAGTAGCACCCCAGTTAGTCTACTGCTCAATATCAGGTACAGGAAATTATTTATATATTTTTATAAAACAAACTTAACTGTTAAGAAAGTTGGTATCATGATGTTGAATACCCAAGCTAAAAATAAAATAAAAATCAGAAATGTTCTCGATTTTTAAAATCTTAAAAAAGGTATTATACCAATTTACTGAATATCTGTTATACAGGATAATATGTGTAAAGTTAACAGTTGTGTAAAATCTTTGACAATAAAGTAAGTAGAAAGAAAGAATATAACCTTTAACATTATTTGACAACATTTGTTCTTAAGTGAAGTAATTAATCCCATTAGAAATCTTGAAGATCTTTAACAAACTGCTACATATAATATTTATGTTAATTTTCCATGACTATTGTGCATATGTGTTAGTATATTTTTCCAAGTTGGAAAGTATTTTGTATCTTTTGAGAATAACCTCAAAAAACAATTATCTAGAAGACAATATAGAAACACATCTTGATTTAAAAAAATAAAAGGGCATAATCACTGAATATTATTTTCACTTCATTCATCTCGCATTTGTTACTGTGTCTGTGATAATTTAATATTTCTTTATACTGTGATTATGTTAGAAATAACTGTATTCTACTGTACGATATTGTAACTGCTAAATATATTAAGATTTCATGGATGTATTTTATAAATAATGACATAGCCAAAACAAAATGTTTTCAGCTGTTTATATACACAAGAACAGAAAAAGGTGGAGAAATCCATTGTTATCCCTACTCAGTACCTTGTTCCTTTGGGGGGTTTTCTTCAATTCCAACCTCAGTTGGGCCCAGCCTTCTCCACTTCATCTTCAGGATTGGGAGCAAGCAGTCCACAATACCCTCACCTCACATTCTCTCACAGCTTAAGAGGTTCTATCCATTTTGGTAATGTGGGCTTCCTTGGAACCTCTCATTCCAGTGTCCGACCGAAGTTAAAGGAATAGAAACCAACGCAGAGGTAAGGGTAGAGGAGGTTGTACAAGTAAAGGTCAGTGCAGAGGGAAACATGGTTGCACTGGCCAATATTGAGCTACAAGTAGGACTAGACACTGATTGGTTTGGATGAGGAATAGAACTCTAGAGAGGAGTTAAATAGGAGGGTAAGCATAGATGTGGTGACCTCTCCAATCTTGACTCAATGTGTCCACTCCCTAACGGGAGACCAAAAGGAAGGAAGTTTGGTGTTCCAGTGGGTGGTGAAAGCATCGATATAAAGTGTTCCCAGCTTGGAATTTAACCACTGAAAGACATGTGGAACGAGGGACCACTCAATGACCCTGGCAAGCTATGACCACCATGTGGTGACTGTGGGTCGAGAAAAGGAGATACAGGGTCTGAAAGCACAGAGACTTGGATTTGGTACCCCTTGCTTGGGGATATAAGTGCCACAGTGGAGTTGTCAGAGTGTACCATAACTACCCTCCCCAGCAGGAGAGAAAAGAAGTGGGACAAAGCTTGATGAACCGCCATAAGTTTGAGAATGTTGATATGGAGAGAAGAAATATCCCAAGTGTCAAGGTAAACACCCTGACCCTCTAAAAATGCATCTATGAATAGATGTAAGTTTGGACTGGGTGGATGAAGCAGTACCCCCACAGTGGTCTGGTTCCTGTCCAGTCACCAAGTCGGGCATGCTATGATTGGGGAAGGAAGGGTAAAAGGGTGGTCCAAGGGATCTGAGTAGAAGTTCCACTGATCAAGAAATGTCCACTGAAGAGAGTGCATATGAGTTTGACCAATAAGGTGAAGAACTAGTAAAGTTGAGGAGTAGAAGGGTGGATGGACGACATGTTGAATAGACCAAAGAAGGAAGGTAGACCATTGCCTTTGGTAAATGGACATAGAAGGTCTGATGGATCAGTAAAGGAAAAATGCAACATGTAGAGTCAGTCCCTGGACTGAGGCAATGGATTTGACAAAAGAGATGTGTGAAGATGGATCGTGGTGACATCTGGATAAACTGACAGGGGAAGACAAAACCTTACAAAACTTGTCAAAACAGGTGTTCAACAAGGCCACCCAATAGTTAGACACAGTTCATGTTGACAAGCCTTTGTAAAAAACAAACCTTCCCTTCTTTTCCACTCCTTTTGAGTCATGCGTCCTCCAAGTTCCTTTTTTGCTTGATTGGGATCTCACTTGGTCCTTTATGCCATTTCCCATCCTCCCTTCAAACCTTTGTCTATGTGTTTCATGTACCATTTCTCTCTCAAGACCTATTTCCTTCTCCTTCTTGGTTGCAGACATCGTCAATTAGATATTTATGCTGATAACATTATCCGCATCCTTTACCATTCCTCTTGTGTCATCCTATATCCCAACTGGTCTTTCCTCTCTAAGAACAATGCTAACTGTGAAGGTGGTTTGGCTTTCATACCCATTTTCTTACCTTCCATTTCCCACCTGTATTCCCATTCCATTCTGATCCTGATTGTCTTCTTTGTCCAGTTCACTCCTTATGGTGGTATGTGGAACATCATTTGTACTTTCAGACTTCAAGTTCCAAACTTTTCATTCCCTGAAACCTTTCCGTTTCCCATGATTTGTCCCCTGTCATGCTAACTGGTTGGGTTCATCAACTTGTTAGACTGGCATATTTGGACTTATCCATGGAAGGTCGCCATCTCCACAACAATTCTTTTCATCAAATTTGTCATATCACCATGTCTTTGACTGCTCATCTTCACCATCCTTTGGAGGAGATCAATCAGGCCAGAATGTGGATTACTCCCAATACCTTCATTGCTCATTATCTGCACAATCTGGCCATATCTTCCTCAGGTGGGTATCATCTCCCTACTGTGGCAATTCTACACATCTGTTCACCTTTGACTGGCGGTAAGTCTTATCACTTCCTTTCATTTGTTTTAATTTTCAACAACCCTCGTTTTTACCACTGATAATGGGATCCCACTCTGTGGTGGGTGTTGCCTGGTCAAATAAGCTTTCCCAACCTGTACAACTTACTAATTGCATTATAATGCTCACTGTAGAGATGGGGCATTTCTGCAAGACCACTTGTGAGATATCCAGTGGCACATATATATATTGTGGGATGTTAGTTTGGAACAAGGGGCATGTTAATGGGGGATTTCACAACCCCTCCACCCCATTATTGATGTTATTCAACATTTATTATCTTTGACATAAGTTAACTACATTCATAGATAGCACTACATTCTTACACCAAACAAAATAACTTTATTACATTTTCCATCCGCTCGATGGGACAGCAGTAAATATTCAGATTTACAATGCTAAAATCAAGGGTTCAATTCCCTCTGGTAGACACAGTAGGTAGCTGATGTGGCTTTACTATAGGAAAACACACACACTAAATTTTCTATAATACATGAATGTCTTGTATATCTCAGAGAGTGTGCTAGCACTCTATGGAGGAATGCAATGAAAAAAATGGCTGCCAATATTGCAATAATACATAAACTCAGATGAAGTCAATACTACAACAGCCACCATAATGCTGATATTAAGAGCTGTTTCTTGAGTTATACCCCTTCCTACTTTGACCCATGACCATACAACTTCGTCCTGTAAGACACTTCTGTGGCCAATGACCATCAATTAATTAATAAACTAACAGTGTGGAAGGACATTAAGAGGTGGGTGTTGAAAGCGAGTAACAGAAAGTATCCCTACTGCCACTACTTTGGCCACTACCTCTTTGTACAAAGTCATCCTGATCATTGCACAGTGTATACCATGTCTTAGTGGGTTATTAAAGCTGAGAAAAAACTTTTGGTGAGGTAGTAATGAATACTGTAATAATGTTATGTTATAAATAAATTGTGTGAAAGTTAAAATTTTTTCATTATTTATCATAGCATCTACCCCCACATTTTTGTAAGTTCATAACCCAGACAAAGGATGGGTACCTCAGCTTGTGTATATATATATATATATGGTTTTAGATATTAATATGTTTCACTCATTGGACGAGTGTCACTCATGCATTTCTGCCCATCCCTCTGACCCTTTGATTGAATAAATCATGGGCGATCTTTTTTTTCAAAATAGGTAATCATAGACACCATCATGTTTACTTCCCCTCCTCCCTTTCTTCTTCCAGTGTGCACAGGAGTCCTTACCACTTCCCAGTTCTTAATTACTGGGGTAGTGAACCATGGAGGCTTCCCCCTGAGTGAGTTTAGAAACTTGATTTACCATACACACTCATGATTATACATTCAATTAGAAGAGGGCAAAGCTGTTTTCCCTCCTTCCATTTCCTCTGAATGTTACAGAAGTTTCTTTTCCTGCTTCTAGAATTGAGTTTGGGGAACTTTGCCCAGTAATACCAGCAACAGGATGAATGTACACTGTTCCTCCTTGTAATTCCGGGTGCAGGATGTCTCTTTCCCTGCATTTACTGTTGAGTAAGTTATGGTTTCTGCTCCTAATACTGGTTACAGATATTACTGTTCTAACAGTTGAGTTGAGGCAATGCCATGACCCCATAATGCTAGACTTGGTTTGTTGTACTTCTTTCTCCTACAGTGGTTTTGGAAGTTTGTCTGATTTCAGCTGAAAGCTAACTTCCTCTTTTTAATTCCAATTGCTTGACGTATGACACTGTTTACTTACAGTGGGGCTTGTAATACAGTATTTGTAATACAGTCCACATGCCATAGTCATTATGTTTGTTACAATGTATTTGTTTTATCTTTTTTTTTTGATCATCAACCTCCTAATGCCGAGTACAAGTTATGGAACTACATCTGTCCATTTGAGGTTGTGAATGTACATAGCCAATTCTGTTTATATTTTACTATAGGTGGCAACTCTAAGAACAAATTGCACTTGGGTACCTCCTTTTTTCACCTCCATCAGATTCATTTTCTACTTCAAGGGCGAAGAACATACCTGTTCCAGAAGTAGAGCAGTACCCCACAAGTTTGCTTCATTTTCATCTCACACCCATTCATCCTGGGTGGTCGCTTTTGGCTTGGTTGGATTGTTGTGTGCCTAAACCAGCCCCTCCACCTCTGCATTATGGGATTCTAGCTTTGTGTGGGAGGTGGTAAGGCTGTATTGGAAGTTAACGTTTTTCTTACACCGAAAATGTATTTCTGATAGGTACTTACCTTCTATCACACACTTCCCACCCACCCTCTCACTACTGGTGTTCCTCTTTTAGAGCCTGTCAATTCTTGAAAGTGAGGATTGAGCAGGAATAGCAAAGACAGCTAGCCACACCAATGTAGGTGGCACAATACTATTGATAGAGAGTAGTCACATGATATGTACATGTTGAGAAATGGCACAAAATTGATGGGGTATATAGACTTGTGTGCTGAGTGTGAAAATTTTTGAGCAATGTTTAGAGGGCAGAAAGATGATATAGATAGCTTTTTGTGAGAGGAAGTAAGTACCTATTGGAAATACACTTTCAGTATAAGAAAAATGTTAACATAGGCGAAAATCTTATCAGTTGGAAAACCAAATGTACATAGTTTTATGAAAATCACTATTTAGTTTAGAGGATTGACCAAACACCAGTAAACATACTAAGGACTTTTACATTGCATAAGAACTGTAAATGTTGGGGAATAGTTGTAATACTTCTAATATTAAACCTGATTCAGTTATTTTTGCAAACAAAGCTTAATCATGAAGAAAGGTTTGTTGTAAGTGATACTTGTGGCTTTGTTTTCTAGACGAAAATTTACTCTTGCCTTAAGTTTACTAAAATGACTATTAAGCTTTAAATAGTACTTTTCAATTTTGTTTTTCAAAATTATTTTAAAATTGTTTCTATCAATGAAAACAATTTTATGCCAAGTAAAAACTATTTCACTGATCTCCATACTTGGTGAGATATTTTAAATTTCTCTTTCAGTTCTTCATAAAACCAAAAAAAGTGTTAAAATTATCATTCCCATAATTAGTAGTCTATATAATCACCGATGTCTAGATATTAATTAATAAGTAGTTAATATAAATACTATCAACCGTATGAAAACCTATCCATAGGCTTAATCTTTTACCAGTACTCGGTAACCTTTACATGGAACATTTTATAGTTGGTGCCCTCAAAACAGCCATTCTATTCCCCAAGAGTTGGGTCAGATATGTTGACAGTATATTCATAATACACACTTTATAGACAAGATTCAAGCATTCATGAAGCACCTGAACAAGATGCTGCAATAGAAATAGAAAAGTAACAAACTCCAATTCCAACATGATGTTTACCAAGATGCATAACTCGTATACCACAGGAATTTAAAAGCCACAGATAAGGGGAGAATCCTCAACTATAAGTAAAATCACCCCAATAGTGTAAAGATAGGTGTCACAGGCTGCCTTGTTTCTAGAATTAACAAGGTTTGTTGTAATACTGAAGAAGCTAAGAAGAAAGACAAATAACTACAACCCTCTTTAACAACGTACATCCAACACTTGAGTAAGAATGAAAAAATAAAAACCAAGAACAAACAGGAAGAGATGTTACAGACTTGCTGCCGTATTCCCATGCTCTTTGAAAACGTACAGAGGATATGTAAAGAAGATAGCATAAAATCGGGAACTATATTCATAAGCCACAACACAATATGATCAGTTATTACACACTAAACCACCTGAAAAATAGAGGAAAAACATCATTCACTACATCCCCTGTGAATGTGCATTCCAATACATTGGAGGAACAAAAATACCAACAAAAGTTAGAATTCATGAGCATAATAGACATACAAGACTTATTATTAATCTATCTGCAATAGCCATAGGATAAATGAAATTATACTAAAATTATAGGATATGAATCACACTCAAGAAAAGGAAAGAGTAAACTTTTTTATACATCAACCTGACTGATAACACAATCAGTTGACCTAGCATAAAAGTCAGCTAAACTTGGATACCTTTTTGAAAACATTCAAATAATTAATTCAAGTTGTAATGGTAGAGGCTGCAGTCAAATGGATAGCACATCAGACTTTCCACCAAAAAAGATCCAAGACTGCATCTCAGTCCCTTCCAACACAGAAATTTCTTTTTTCAGACTTCCCAGTGGAACATGAGATAAAAAATAATTATCTAGTAATAAAATGTGATAATTTATTATAGTTTAAATAAATAAAGTTAATAAAGTTCACTGTTATTTATTAGTCAGAGTCAATGTTAAAAGAGAGAGAAAACATAGCATGGTGAATAGCATACTAGGGGATAAAAATCATCATTTTAACTTTTTTACAAAAACTTGCAAACACACCGAGATCAGAAAGCATTGATGAATGATAACTTTTCAATCAACTTCTAGTTTATCATGCAGAATATTACCCTGTACCAAGATATTCAAACATTCTAAAGCTTGCATGTTTTTGTTAATGTTTAAATAAGTTTTAAAAAATGGAGGATTTTGTCTCAAATTTATGATAAAATCAGCTCCAATGTTATTGTGGTTTTAACCAGCTTTGATTTCCATCCTTATGTTCATATACTTGTAAGTTTAGGATAAGTCCATTTTATTGCTCTTCTTTATATTGTGTGCATAACTTCAGATAACAATACTTGAGGCATTATTTATTGTGAAAAAAAAAACTGCAACATATTGTCTAAGTTGTTTTAGTTTTAAGGAGTGATTAATTTTTGAAACTTAATGATTTGAATATTTCTTTGCATCAGGTTATGGTCCAAGTGGTCCATACAAGACCAGAGCTGGCTATGATGTAATTGCGGCTTCAATAGGAGGCCTGCTCCACATTACAGGGCCACCAAATGGAGATCCATGCAAAGTTGGTGTAGCCATGACTGACCTTGCCACAGGATTGTATGCACATGGAGCAATCTTAGCAGCATTGTTGGAAAGGGAGAAAACAGGTCGAGGTCAAAAGATAGATTGTAATCTTCTGTCTACGCAGGTACATTGTTGTCAGTATTTCCTCCTAGGGTAAAGGTGTTCATATTTGTGAAGTTAGAATTTTTCAGAAGATGCACAGTTTGATATCAGGTTGGATTCAAATACATAACAGCATAGCATACCAGACCAGTAACCATAATTCACCATCAGAGTTAGTATTAATTAGTATCTCATTCCCAAACATACATACTTCTTCTCATACTTATAGCTATTAATCAACTGCCAGGGTTCTTCCTTTGCCCATATAAGTATTGGTCTAATTTTTTCTTACTTGCTCCAGTCCTTCATACCCCACTCAATTGCCCTTGGTGATATTTATCTCATGATACTCTCCACCTACATCAGTGTGCCCTATATCCTAGTACTGTATATAAACATCTCATTTATATAATGTTATCACCTTTTCTCGACAAAGCATCACTAACAGGTTTCCCAGTATTACAATCAATTGGAGATACTTTGAACACTACTAGTATATGGGTTCCTCTACTGCCACCTCATCCAGAGTTCCATCTTTTCATGAATGCCTTGCTTCATGGATGGCATGCATATACCAACAGTCAGGAATTCTTTGGTCAATGCATGGATGAAGTGGATTCTCTACACAATGTTTTCATCCTTCTTGCTCTTCAACAGGCAATGCCTCATGGTCTGGGCCTACTAAAGGATAAATCGTCAGGCTTCACTCTGACAATTCTATGGTTGTTTATTGTGTTTCTCATCAAGGAGGCAGGTCTAATGCTCTTTGTTTTCGAAATTTGGACCTCCTTCTCGGGACCATTCCTAACTTATCACCTTTCTAGCTTGCCATGTTCCACGGGTGATGCCTGTGGTAGCTGGTCAGTTGTCTCAATCTAGATAGCTTTTTCTGACAGAATAGATGTTACATCACAAGATCCTGGCTCTCATTTTGCAACTCTAATTGGTGGGTTGGCCTCTTATTGGATCACCCAACTACTGACAATTTGGTCTCCAGTAACTCATCTTCAGGCTTTGGCAATAGATGCATTCCATTTGTACAGGACAGGATTACAACTCTGAGCCTTGTTTCCATTTCATATGGTACCCAGAGTAGTAAATATGATTTGTTCCAACCCAGTGTCAGATCCTGTTGATAGTACTAGATTCGCTGTTACAAACTTTTTTTTGTGGTCCCTTCCAGTGTGTCCAACTATTCCACTTCTTTCTAGGCTCTCTTTGTGGAGACAGCCATGATATGGTATGCCTGGTTATCCAGAAGCTCAAGTTTCTGGCATAGAGGTTATGCTGTTTTTCACATGGTATTGGAGTTTAATTTCTAAGGTTGCTATGTATCTGTCTCAATTTCTGCTTAGTCCGAAAAGCACATTTATGAACAGTAATGACATGCATATCGGCAATGGTGTATAGAGAGGAGGTTGAACCCATTTCAATCAGTAGTGTCAACCATAACTCGTTTTTTCACCTGATTCTTTGGCAGAGGTTTTTGCATCTTCCACATTTGGTTTATTTAAGATGGTCGTACTGACTACCGTTCAATTATTGCAAATACATATTTTTTTTTAGTCTCCAGCTCTCCAGGTTCCTCAAGTTGCTTTGGGTACTTTGTCCCAAATGCCCATTTCAGTTACCTACCAGATATATTAAGGTTACATTGCGTGTTCTTTCTCAACACGTTTGTGACCTGGCTCTTATATACTATGTATCTCCTTTACCTGCTGGTTTATTTTTCATGGCTGTTGACCTACAGCTATCACCAGTTGGAGTGATTTGTGCTGTTTGTCCACTCACCACTTTCTCTACATCCTCAGACCAGTTCTTCTTACCCAACACTGTCAGACAGGACAGAGGTTCAGTCCTTTTCTCCAATTCATCTGATCACTATTTCTCTCTTCTATGTCCAATCAGATTTCGATCTTGATCATGTTCAATGAGGGTTTTGTGACTCCCTAGTTCCACTAGTAGAATCTGGGTAATGCGCATTGAGGAGTACTGAGGAGTCCAGTGCTCTGTAAACAGTGCAACAGGTGAACCAAGTTCTCAAAATTTTTAAAAGCAAATTGACTTTGATTTATTCAATTCAAAGATTGGCAGGGACAAGCAGGATCCCCTTATGCTTTACTCATGATAGTCTATGAGTGGAGGTCCATCATAGAACAGTAATACCACCTGGTCATCTCCTAGGTGGCTTGTTGCAACCCGTATAGAGTATATAGAATTAGTGGTTGCTTGTGCAGAATTAGTTTGATAAAAGCACATCTATCTGGGCAACACTTTCCACAAAGTGGAATCTTGTGAAAACAAGGTAAGGGACCCTGAAAGGTAGAAATGAATATACTCACCCTTCTGGATAATCTAGCAGAAATGGTTAAGATAGCTACAGGGGAAAGGCAAAATCATCAGATGAAGAGATTGCCAGATTATGCAAATAATGTCAGATAAAGGTATTGGGGAAGGTCCACATACCAGGTTATACAATGACCTCCAGCAGGCAATTTGACTGGACTGCTAAGGACATATAAAAGTGACAAATCTGATTAAATTCGACTCGCAGAAGATTGCTCACCTTCCAAAAAAAATCCAGAATAAAAAATCATTGTCTAGTATCTCTGAAGGTATTAGTCAAGGCAACAAAACCTTTTACTACACCCAGTTTCCTGTCATTGGGGTGGTGGACAGAGCCTTTTCCTCCAGAGTGTTAGAGTGAATTCATCCACTGTTGGAGAAGAGGGCGAAGTTGGGGGCCCTCTTACCCGGGTCCCTGGGTGTTTTCCCCAGATGTTGGAAGGAGTGGCACCAGCCTGTGCAGGAGCCTACTTGTAATATGAGTTCAGATTTGATGCTTGGCTATCTGATTGGGGTATGCATGGCCCTTCTTTTTAATCAATATAGATTCAGTACATTGTTCATGGAAGAGTGTCCAGTATCTCCTCGTAATTCCAAATGCAGAATGGTCCATCGGTCCTTGGTTGAACACAATTGTTCTACATCCTCCCCATAATTCCAGGGGCAAGTGGTATATACCTTGCCCACACGGTTGGGGAGTGAGGATGAATGTTCATAAATCCAGACCAGAAGTTCTGTTTCCTTTGGTTGAGTAAGGCATACACAATCCCATCATTCTGAGCCTTTCAGGCTTCTTCAGGTGGAGGGGAAGGTTTGTCCACTTTGGTGTTGCTTAAATTCTTGTCATGATTCCCTAGCCACCAACGTGGGATATAGGGACTCCTTAATTCCAACCCCATTGGTTGGGGCTGGCCTATAGTGATGATAACTCGTGTAACATTCCACCCATGATACAGGAACTCAGTTTTGGGTGAAGAACAAACCTGTTCTGGATGTAGTGCAGTTTCCCCACTATGGTGACAATCTTCTGTTGACACACCCATGTTCTATGCAGATACTTTCTGTATGGATAATGCCCTCACTAGCCCCTTCACCTTATCAATGTGGGATTCTAGGTATAAGTGGGAGTGGAGGTAGGTATGTATGTTTTAGAAGTTAACATTTTCCTAAATTAAAATGTATTTCCAATAATACTTACCTCCTCTCACATTCTCCTGCCCTTCCTCCCCACTAAGAGCCGATGTTATTGACTGGGACTGAGCCAGTCTCAAAAAGGGGATAACATTATCTGAATGAGGTGCTTATATACAGTACCAGGATAGAGAGTGCATTGGCATAGGTGGAGAGTATCACGAGATAAATATCGCCTAGGGAAATTGAGTGGGATATAAAAGACTGGAGCAAGCAAGCAAGAGAAAATCAGACCAATGCATAGATGGCCAAAGGAAGAAACCCTGGCAGTGGAGTGATAACTATAAGTGTGAGAGGAGATAAGTTGTACTGGTAATAAATTTTCAATTTTGTAAAATGTTAACTTTTGCAATACATAGAAAAACATTTTTTATACCAGTTTCAAGTCAGTAGAGATAACAAACAAATTAGAGCTCAGGACCACAATAGACATACAAGACTTAACCACATAAAATAACAATTTTTATATATGCAAATAAGACTATTATAAACAGTGATTTTTCTCATGTTTTACTACCCTTAACTATAATTTAGGTTATGATCCTGTTTAAATATTTTATTTTTATAATTATTTCTGTTAAAAAAATAACTACTACTGAAGAAAGAAAAATGCCAGAATTACTTTATTTACCACAATGCCAAATCCACAATTTTAAGTGGTCAAATTATTTTAAACAAAAAAAACGTCTTGTACACTGTATATTATTTTAGATGCTAGTTGATTTCTGTTGACAATACAAACAACAGACTTCATTCATATATTTTTAATGTGATGATTTTAGTAGTTCATCTTCTATTGTAATCCCTATTGATACTATGTTTTTAGTATGTTGATAGTATGATTTTTAAATATTCTGTATTTATAAGTTTTCCAGTTAACAAGACTAGATGACATTTGTATTTTTATTTGTGTAACATAGCTAGCACTAAACCTAAAATGTTAAGAAAGTTGTTGTTGTTTTTTAATAAGATTTATTCTAAATGTTAATACAAAATGTACATTCTTAAGATGATCTCATTCTTAACCTGTTGATTGAAGTTATTTCTGTACTTTGACATAGGAAATATTGAACGACATCACTGCATCAGGAACACACATAAACTTCTGTCAAGGTGTCAAAACAGTTTCTAAATTCAAATTATGGTCACAATAAGGGAACCATAATTTGGAAATAAATAATAAATCATTCGTCTGTTATTGAAGCAATACCATCAAACGTTTTACTGTTGGTGTAAACTTCATATCAGTTTTTAGCAACAACGTTATGAATTTCTATTATAACAAATATAACATCTACTCACCAAATATTATTCTGTAGGTGTCACTACTTGCCAATCTTGGATCCAATTACCTGAATGCTGGTAAAGAGGCCATACGTTGGGGAACTGCTCATGAGAGCATAGTTCCGTATCAAGCTTTCCAAACCAGTGACGGGTATATTACTGTTGGTGCAGGTAGTGATGAACAATTTCAGATTTTTTGTAAGGTATGGTTATTTTCTGCAACATTATGTTATATTTTATTTTGCAAATTATAAAATGTGTGAATCACCTTATTAAAAGAAATCAAAGAAACGATGATCTGATAAAATTTAGTCACATTAGCTAGTCATTTCATTGACAAACAAAACTATGAATCTAGTTTTTATGTAAGTAATTTCTGTTGAATCTGAAGTAATTTGAGCAGTGAAATTTGTTTGAAATGTAGTGAATTTAAGTCTACTTATATAATTGAAATTTGTGATCAAAGATCAGCATTGATTTTTTTTCTTTACATAATAAAAAATGGTAAATTGAAATTAACAGTTTACTGTCTATCTGTACATGTTAAATCATCTAAAATCAGATGTTGTAACATTTCTTGAAATATGACTAAGTCCACCCATTCAAATTTAAGAATCCTTTGTAATGCAAATTGTGCAAGAACATTACATATTAAAAGCTCTCTTTTCATAATACATTTTAAATATGTCAATCAGTTTATGACATGATTGAAGCCTTTCATTACTGATTTAGTAATTTTTTAGTGTTAATTGAAATTACTGTAATTGGCAGATACCATGAATCTGTTCAGTTTTAGCCTATATGCATTATTTCATTTCAGACTGTTTTCAAATTCAAAACTGTACATTTTATGAAGAAAGTTATAATGCTTATTTTATGTTCATATGCAATATATATATATATATATATATATATATATATATATA